CTTTCTTCGACAGTCCTCCATGAGAGTTGTCCCTGTGTTACAGAAGAGGGAACCGCAGGTCAGAGAGGTGAAGTAGCAAACTCTGGACAGCTGGTAAGCGGCAGAGCTTCTCATCCTTAATCATCAGAAAAATCGGTGCTTATGGTCTGAGCATCTACTATATTCTAAGACTTCTACCTGGCTTGATCTCTGAGATGCTTTACAATGACTGGTTTGTGCCTAAGGGTAAATGACCTCCTTAACCATTCTGAGGTTTGAAAGTGGCTCAGTCTTCACACTCATTGCTGCTCTCTGGCTCAATCACCTGCTAACACCTTTGGAAGAATGAGGCCCTGTCCTCAGTCTCTCTCTCTCTTTTTTTTTTTTTTCGGTACCAGGGATCAAACTCGGGTCCTTGTGCTTGCACAGCAGGCAGCAAAACCACTGAGCTAAATCCCCAGCCCTGTCCTCAGTCTCTTATCCAATCTAAGTATGATATTTCTTGGAGTCAGGCCATTCTTGCTAAGAGTGGAGAAGTCTTCATCCTTTTTGGTTAGTCTCTTTAGGGGAAATGTTCAGTTAACACAAATGATTCTCAAAGTTGATCTACTTTTTTTTTTGGTACCAGGGATTGAACTTGGGACCTTGCACTTGCAAGACAGTTGGCAGAACCACTGAGCTATATCCCCAGCCCTGATCTACTTTTTTTTTTTGGTACCAGGGATCGAACTCCGGTCCTTGCGCTTGCACAGCAGACAGCGAAACCACTGAGCTAAATCGCTGGCCCCTCTGATCTACTTTTTAATACTGCAGTTAGCTTTCAGGGAGATGTCCAGTTTTAGTGGAATGGCTTTTTGTTGTGTTTGTTTTAACCTGGGAAGACTTACTTCCCTGCCTGCCTCCAGCCCATCTATCTGGTGCTAAGAACGTCAGTGAATTCAGGCTCCCATCATCGTGTGGTTGCTGATGGACCGTGAGGAGCAGTGGCAACTGTCACCGACTGCTGCTCTCAGCAATCGCAGCAAGGCTTCTGGTGATGGGGATTTTAGGTCTGAGGCCGAGGGGCTGCGAGACTTTAGATAAACCACTTCTCTCCCTACAGTAATGTGCACCTTGATCTTTAACTAATATACCTCTCCTATTCTGTACATTTCAAGATTAAAATATTTCTGTCCATATTTACAGCCTATTTCCTATTTCTTATGTAACACTTAAGTCAAACAAGCATGAGTTGTGGATGGCATTCAGAAAGCAACTTGATTTTTGTCTTCTAGTCTGTCTTTAAATTTTCCCTATGGGGAAATTATTTCTGTTCTCATGGGTAAACTCAGTCAGATGGCAAGACTTCTGAACCCTCCTAGCTATCAAAACAGAGTCTCAATACAGTTACTCAAATGTTCTGTCCACGGTGATGGTCAAGACTTTTCACTTAATTCAAAGTCACAGCTTCTCTCCTCTCTTAGCTTGGGTCTGCTGCAGGGAGGAAACCTACAGGTGAGGAATGGAAGCATAGTCACTTTCTTCTCTCCTTCCTGTTGTCTTTATTTGGATTTGCTGATGTCTCTACATATGTGCCCAAAGCTAGAGGACTGTTTTCTGCCCCTTCTGTAATTGGGGCATAGGAAGCAGCAGACGAAAAGACAGTTAGAAAGTTCTTCCCTGTTTGATCCTTACTTTCATCACTAGGAATCTATACCTCCATTAAGACATGGAGTCAAGTGTGCCTCTCTTTTGGTTTGCTCTTTGCTTTTCCTTGACTCCCAGGTACCTAAGAATATGTTCGATATTGTCTGTGCTGCTAATTAGTCTAATTAGACTAATCAGTTAATTAGCATAATCAGTCTGTACTGCCATAACAAAATATCTGAGACTGAGTCATTTATGAAAGACAGAAATTTATTTCTTAAAATTCTGGAGGCTGCAAAGTCCAACATCAAGGTGCTGCAGGTTCATTGTCTAGTGAGGGCCAGGTCTCTGCTTCCAAGATGGCTCCTCCAGAGGGGAGGAATGCTGCATCCTTAGGGGGTAGAAGGTGAAAACGGTGAGAAGGGCTAATTCCCTTCCTCATTAGCCGTTAAAAAGGGTGCCTAATCACTTGGCGAAGAAAGAGGCCTCTAACCTAATCACATCTTTTTTTTTTTTTTTTTTTTTTTTTT